GCTCCTTGTTTGGTCTTATCAGCCACAGTGTCGGCCGCTTCCTTAGTCTTCTCCTTTGCATCGTATTCATATTCTTTCGTCTTGTCTGCCATAGTTCCGGCAGTGTCCTTGGTCTTCTCTTTTGCGTCGTATGCATATTCTTTTGTTTTATCAGCGACTGTCCCAGCAGCGTCCTTGGTTTTCTCTTTTGTCTCGTAGGCCTTATCGGCCACAGTACCTGTTAAAAATTATAAATTGAGAACATAAGTGAAACAGATAATAATAACCTTTCCGTTGATAAATAACAGTACCTGCTGTGTCCTTAGACTTCTCCTTTAAGTCATCAGCTTTCTCTTTCGCAGCCTCGTACGCAGTTTCAGCCCCCCCGTCCTTTGCTTCTTTGGCCTTCTCGGCTGCCTTGTCCGCCCGGTTCTTTGCTTTATCCTTCATTTCTTCTGCCCGTTCTTTAGTCTTCTCAGCCATCTCATAAGCCGGATCTTCTGGTTCTTCAAAATCCTCATCGGCTTTGTGTGGACTGTATTCTCTTTTTCTACTTTCACCAGCATTCCGTCCCTAATCAACATGAGTACACACAGAACGTATAACTGTATAAGCATCTAACAAGAATCAATTACAATCGAAAATTTAAAGACGCGCGGTGGCGTTGCATACCTCAGAATATTTAGAGGCAGAAGTGAAACAAACCCTGGAGACTTTGCGAGGCAGAAGTTGAGAAGGGGTATGAGAAAAACCCTCTGGAAGTTTAAAAATTGTGTTTTTCCCGAAAAAACTTGCAGCCATTTTTGCAGATAACTGATCTACGAATCCACCGATTGGTACGACTATTGAGTGTTATAAGGAGGACTGGGAGAGAAAGGTGGCGCCGTGAGTGTGTGACACATGTTATGGGTTTATGCCACGTATTTGGTTGTCATGTATGGGAAGTTGCCGACAGTAAATTTTTTTTTTTCCTTATTAGATTAATATGATATTCAGTCCCGTTTGGTGCACATTTTGAAGGTAAGAATGTATTTTTACTGTT